GTATCAGAAAATGGGTTTTTGATGTTATAATTGCTGCTTGATAGCACTGTCAGTGATACTTCACATCACGATAATTGCCTGGGTTGTGTTTGTCTAGGATGGTGGATAAAAGTCATGATTCTGTGAGCACCCCTTTATGTCAGACTGTTGCTTGACTAGTCTATGACACAGCTTCATGCACGTCCCCACGTTAGTGAGGCTTGCAGGGCCGTGTATATCTTTGCTCCGTCTGATGCCAAGGTTGTTGCTGGAAGACTTGTCTGGTTTTATTAATATTGTTTCAGTAGGAGTTTAATGTAATCAAGTGACTTGCTAGGCCATTTCAGAGCACGGTTAAGGGTAACTAGCTTACTGTGGGTTTAGTGTCACATACAGGTCAGCTCAGTTAAAGATGATCAGGTAAGGTGGGTGGCAGATTTCTTTTCCCTGAAGGACATCAGTGAAACAAATAGATTTTACTACAAGCCAATAATTTTGCAGAAACTATTGCTAAGACTATTTTTTAAAAAAATAATTAACTCAAGTTTAGCAGCTTTGATGGGTGTTTTACAAATGCTTCTCGAATATTTGTCTCAAACCTCTAGATTATTCATCCAGTAAAAATCCTCTTTGTTGCTATACCTCTTATGTGGCTGAACATTGTACAGTCAGGTCAAAAAGCTCTGCACCAACACTGTAATGGTGGAAAGTCATTGATAAAACAGCTAAATTATTATTTCCTCAAAAGACAAAGATCTATGTAAAGTGTGCAAATCAAGATAAACAGGAATAACGGACTAGGATATAGTAAGGACTGCAAATGCTGGGAGCCAGAGTCAATAAACATGAAGCTGGACAAACACAGCAGGTAGCAAAGCATCAGAGGATCAGAAAAGTCAACATTGTGAGCCAAAATCCTTCGTCAAGAATAACGGGCACTCAATTCAAAAGTTTAGGAATAAATACCATTTCTGTTTCACCAGTTCTTATTTTTCCTTCACTATGTACCATTCCAACTTCAGTTCTAATCATGTCCTAGGTTTCTAAACATGATGTTTTGAATTGGATTTCAGGAAATGCAGAAGACCTGAACAAGGTCTTTCTCTTGGGCTGTGCTTTTTGTTGAACTTCTGGGTTTGAGATTGGGAGTTGCAAAAAGTGGTTCACATTTAGCAACAATTTTTTTTAATGTTGATCAATGTAAATCTGCACTTTTGCTAGCACAGGGGAGCACTATACTCAACCATGCTTAGGTATGTACAGAGATTTCTCAGATTAGCAAGTAAATTTTAATTGTCTTGAAGGCATGAGAGATCATGCCTGTTTTTTTTATAAATAGAAATCTTCATTTTACAAAACTGTCAGAATGGCAAATTATTGCATTCCACCTTTTTGGGAATAACACATAAATGGTATTAGCACCCATAAATTCTCCTTCATCATTCTGATTATAAATGCACCAGAGTTGGACTAAAACTTGGACAAAAAGGGAAAGAGAAAGAATCGTGGGAAATGTCAATAAAGAGAAGAAAAAGATTATTATAAACATTTTACATATTTCAATATTGATTTGAAGTACTTTAGCAATATCACTAGTGTTAGAACTGTTGCATTCTCAGTATTGTATTTATGTTGGGAAATACGCAGGACAGGAAAATCGACAAAATGCAGAAAACATGTGTTCTATAGAGGGAAGGTCTAAGCACAACACAAACAATAGATTTCATGAATGTCTCACACCCTACAACCATGCTAGGTATGCCATTATGTTCCCTTACAGTGCTGAAAAAACGAGAGTCTTCTTTTTGTGTTTTTCTCTTGTATTTACGCGGAAAGACACAAAAATGACAAATTGCAAAGGAAGCCACAGTTTAATGAGAAGAGGGTGCTGATTAGTTAATGATCTGCCACTAATTATTTGAGTCATTGACAACAATAGGGAACTGTTGCCTCTCATGTTTTGCTTAATTCAGAGAAATGCAACACCTGGATATATTCTTTTTCCCTGCAGAGATCCCAGTATATGAATATATGTAGGTTCTAGCAAACATAAGTGAGTTATGTTGTGAGGCTGACTGAGAATCTTAAACTGTTTGTTAATGTTACATTTGCACACTCAGGTCTCCGTGACTCCCTTGTCCGCTCCACACTCCCCTCCAGCTCCACCACACCCGGCACTTTTCCCTGCAACCGCAGGAAGTGCTACACCTGCCCCCATACCTCCTCCCTCACCCCCATCCCAGGCCCCAAGAAGACTTTCCACATCAAGCAGATGTTCACCTGCACATCTGCCAATGTGGTATACTGCATCCGCTGTACCCGGTGTGGCTTCCTCTACATCGGGGAAACCAAGCGGAGACTCGGGGACCGCTTTGCAGAACACCTACGCTCGGTTCGCAACAAACAACTGCACCTCCCAGTCGCGAACCATTTCAACTCCCCCTCCCATTCCTCAGACGACATGTCCATCCTGGGCCTCCTGCAGTGCCACAACGATGCCACCCGAAGGTTGCAGGAACAGCAACTCATATTCCGCTTGGGAACCCTGCAGCCCAATGGTATCAATGTGGATTTCACAAGTTTCAAAATCTCCCCTCCCCCTACCGCATCCCAAAACCAGTCCAGCTCGTCCCTGCCTCCCTAACCTGTTCTTCCTCCCACCTATCCCCTCCTCCCACCTCAAGCCGCACCTCCATCTCCTACCGACCAACCTCATCCCGCCCCCTTGACCTGTCCGTCCTCCCTGGACTGACCTATCCCCTTCCTAACTCCCTACCTACACTCACCTTTACTGGCTCCATCCCCGCCTCTTCGACCTGTTTGTTTCCTCTCCACCTATCCTCTCCTCTATCCCTCTTCTATCCGCCTCCCACTCTCTCCCTATTTATTTCAAAACCCCCTTCCCCTCCCCCTTTTCTGATGAAGGGTCTAGGCCCGAAACGTCAGCCTCTCTGCTCCTATGATGCTGCTTGGCCTGCTGTGTTCATCCAGCCCTGCACCTTGTTGTCTCTGCCAGAACTCTAGTCTCTTTTTCAGCTATATTCCTTATATTCCTACATTACTAAGTGTTGATCTCAAAAGACCTTTACGTCATATGCTCAAAATGTATATTTAGGCTGGTTCTATCACAGTATACCCAGTCCCAAGGTTTATTTGCAGTGAGCCATGAGCCGACTATGTTCATTGTATTCCAGTGCGCTCCCATTCTACTCTGAACTGCATTGATTCTGCATTTATACTTCCAGGCAATCTTGCCTGTGTATCAGAGATAGTAGGAACTGCAGATGCTGGAGAATCCGAGACAACAAGGTGCAGGGCTGGATGAACACAGCAGGCCAAGCAGCATCATGGGAGCAGAGAGGCTGACGTTTCGGCCTGTGTATGTTTTGTTTACTTTGCAGGAGAAAACACATATGAACAATGCAGCCAATTAATGTCTTTGTTCAAATCAGAAAAGTGAAGAAAACATGATCACACAGTGGAGAAAGTCTACATCACCTATTGGGGCAGCAAACTTGCGGATTCGGAAAGGGATATGACTGTAACACGGTAACCCCAAATCTTCAACCAGTGGGCAGGACATCCAAATGGCAGCACAACATTGCAAATTATGTCATAAGAATACTGTGAAAGAGTGACTGTTTGCTGAAAGGAGATAGTAGGAACTGCCAATGCTGGAGATTCTGAGATAACAAGGTGTGGAGTTGGATGAACACAGCAGGCCAAGCAGCATCAGAGGAGCAGGAAAGCTGACGTTTCGGGTCTGGACCCTTCTTCAGAAAAGAAGGGTCCAGACCCTTTGCTGAATCTTTCCATTATGAATATTTTTATTATTTTCTGTACTCTAAATTATACCGTTTGAAGCACTTTTTGGAATCCTTGAGGACCAAAGAGTCATATGTGAATAAAAGGGAGCTCTCTACAATATCGGCAGGGAATAAATTTTACAGTAAGTATACCTCCTACTTGGCACTGATTGTTGCAGAGTTGATCCACTTCCAGGCCAAATCAGCAGGGTGTTATTTTTAACTCTGTTTACATCAAGTTGGAGATAAAAATAGACAGCTTTCAATCAGTTTGGAAATGGACCAGCAAGACTCAAAATGAAAGCCAGGTACTGAAGGTTTAATGAGTTCTGTGGCTACCATCACTAAATCTATTTTCCTCACTTAAGTGGATTCCAGGCTGAAGGGAAGAACCATTTCACAAGTGAGATTATTTTAAAATAGAAGATACTTTTTAACATAAAGGCTCAACTGTTTTTAATCCAATACATTGGAATGTTCGGAGAAGGGTTTATCCCTGAAAATCCCCACGTGATAATGGCCCTATCTAATAGTTAAGGACAGTTGTGATGCAGAATCAAAGGGTTTCCACGTACAGAGGGAGAGAAAACTGGAGGAGCAGTCACCTCAAGCTGTTCTTACACATCTAATAGCAGCTACTTCCAAAGGTGTGGTGGCAGCTTGTCTGTCTGGGAAATAATTTGTAGAATATGGAGACCTAAAAAGTCCATGGAATAAATAAAAACAGAAACAAAATCAATCTTTTGTACCAACATGATTCCATTCTAATTTCAACCTCACATGACAATTTTTATATTTGATTTTACTAAATTATCCAGATTTAATTGTCATTTGCCAGTCCATTGTTCGTAGAAGGAAAGATATTTCAGTAAAAGAACAAAACTCCCAAACAAAACAGTTCTGCTAGATGGTCAAATGAATGTGATTATATTTGCAAAGCTTTTTTCATTGTACCTGTGTATTCAAGCAGAGTTATGCTGTGTACATATTTGACTTTGGCAGTGACATTCTGTTCTATCTTGCTGTGAGAAAACAAATGTTAACAGGAATAGAGTGTACAAACTTGCAAACACAAATATTCCTTTCTCTTTATTTCTGCCATTTTTTAAAAACAAGTTTGGCTTTTTGACATCAGTTTGACATCAACTAAGAAGTGAATTTGAACAACTTACAACGTTACTACATATGGCAATGCATGGGTATATAATCAGAAAGATGTACTGCTCTTTTTGTAATAGTTTAATACATCTGAATATTTGAGAATGAATTCAGCACTTGATTGTGTTTCTTAATCTTAAAAGCTTTAAAAATAGTTTGAAAGAAATGGCATGAATGCCAGAAGATGTGAATATTGCTGAAAAGTATTCATTTTTTAAAGCGTTTTGCCATGTACTCATCAAGGCCATTTGCAGGAAATATCAATGTAAAGGGCTTTTTTTACTCCATATGAGTAGGGGATGTTGATTGTTGCTGCAAGGATTCTGACTAACGAAGGCATGCCGTTGAGAATGTACAGGTAGGTGATGACTTCATTAAATCATGATGCTTTGCTTCAGTTTCAAATAGACAGATTATCTGATTAGTCAAGGCATTGCCCAGACAAACAAAAGGAGAGAAAATTGAGTTTCAACTCAAATAGCTGATTGCTATTCTCTAGTTGATTTCTCTGACCAATGCCTTGACTAAACACAGTGAATCTGTCAAGTTCAAATTTAAACTAAATATGGCAGTTAACTGTCAATCATCATCTAACTAGAGAATTCTTCATGGCAATGCCTTTACCAATCATCCATTTTACTCATCTAGTATAAATGTTGTTTTCCCTTTGCATTGGTATTCTTGCAAATTGTCCTAATGAGTGCAAGATGAAAAGTTACAACAAATACACAGGTTCTGTATGTCCAAACAACTATTTCAATCTTTATTAATCTATTAGTATTTGAAATGCAATTGTTATATTCTTACACTTATTTATCATTGCTGAAATAGGGATCATTTAGATGAAAAGGAAATTATATAATTAGTCCAGAGAGAATGGGGTTAAACCACAAGAGACAGGAAATCAAAACAAAACAAAAAAGTCTTTAGAAGAACCCTATGCTTGAAACCTGTTAAGTCAATCCTTCTTCTTTTTCCAGTTACATCGTGTGCTTTCTGTGTAGAACATGGAAGTATTATTAAAAAACCATTGTTCCATCTGATTTCCTGCGATATCAATCTCAATCTAGTCCTTAATTCAGGAGCAGCAGTTCCTCCCATTGAATTCTTTCTCTCCCTGCATTTTCAGAATACATAGGATTAACCAATCAGCATGGATTTGTTGCTAAGCAAAGAGATCATCTTTTGTTTCCTGAAAACTTTCCTGGGGAAAAGCATTGATCAATGTGAATCAAGCCCGAAAGAGTACCAGTATCAGGCTCAAGCTACAAATCCATGCTGTTGTCATCTAGAACAGTAGTATGACCCCAGCCTCCCAACATTCAATGTGCATGCTTGTTTATTGAGAATTGCCATTTCATCACAAAATCAGCACAGAATGAGGGCATTCATTTCATTGTGTCTATAACCCACTCTTCAAATAAGCATCACGACTCTGTGCCATAATCCTGCTATTTCCCTGTACCCTTGCATGTTGGATGATGATTTAAATAGAAACAATGTCCTCTTGAATGCCTCATTTGAACCTGTCTCCACCACACTTCCAGGTAGTGCATTCCAAACCTGAACCTCTAGATGTGTGAAGAAGTTCTTCCTCAATTGCATTTGCTTCCTTTATAAACAACTTTATATCCATGCCCTCTCATTCTTATTCCTTTTATAAATATGAACAGTTTCTCCCTATCTACTCTATCCAAAACTGACTTCTATCAGATCTCATCTTAACTTCTTCCCTCCAAGGCGAATTGTCCAAACCTCTCCAACTTATCCTCATCATTGAACTTCTTCATCCCTTGAAACAATGTGTTCAATTTCTTCTGTACTTTCTCCAATGTGTTCACATCCTTCCTGTAATGTCGCACCCAGTAATGTACATAATATTCCTGCTGAAGTCTAACAAATGTCTTATATAAGTTCAACATCCCCTCCTTCCCAATCTATGCTCCTATTAATAAAACCCAGGATATCACAGACATTATTGACTGTTCTCTTCCAACTGTCTTGCCATTTTCTGTGCAAATATACAATCAGGTCCCTCTGCTCCTGCCCATTCTTTAGAATTGTAGCCCCTTGTGTCACATTGTCTGTTCATGTCTTTCCTATGAAAATACCTCACCTCATACTTGTCTGCACACAACTTCATCTGCTACATTTCTGCCCTGTCCGCTAAATTTTCTGTGTACTCTTAAAGCTTTACAATGCTCTCACAGTTTACAATGCTTCCAAGTTTTGTATCATCCACAAACTTTGAAATTGCCCTCTGCACACCAAGATATAAATCAGGAAAAGCAAGGGTCCCAATGCCAACCCCTGGGAGAACTCAACTACAAATCTTCACCAGCCCAAAAAATCTATTTATCATTATTCTGTTTCTTATCCCTTAGCCAATCTTGTATCCATGTTGCGATTGCCCCTCTTCCTACAAGAAATAACTTTTCTCACAAGTTTGTTGTGTTGCATTGAATCAAGTACCTTCTGGAAGTCCATGTAAACCACCACTTCAACAACATTACCTTCATCCACTCTGTTATCTCTTCAAAAGACTCCAGCAAGTTAGTTGAACATGGATTTACCTTTTAGAAATCCACTCCTAATTAACGCAAATTTTTCCTGTGACTACTAACTCCATCCCAAATAATTGTTTCTGGAAGCTTCACTACCACTATAAATAAACTGACAGGTCTGTATACCTTAACTTGGTGTATATGTCAGCCCGTCTCTTATGCTAAAAACATTCTCTACTTGCATATGAGTCACCATCAACTTTTCACTTCAGAAATGCATGTTTATTTCCCAACACATGAGATCAAGCAGGTAGCACAAGTGAAGTTGCCAAGATGTGTGGGAGATTGAGACAAGTTCACACAGAGTAGATTGCATGTGGCAATGGGTCCTTTGGAAAACAAATTAAATACAGAGTTGGTTTCAAGCTAAAAGTTGTAACATTTGCCAACTCATTATATAATTGTGTTGCAGTGAGGGAATTCAGTGGTAATGAAACAGTGGGAGAAGGGCCAATCCACCCTGAAGAAGGTCTTTGAGATCGAATGCGAACAGCAAACAGCCACTGAACTCATCTTGAGAAGTAAATGTTGTATCCTTGAAAAATCACCAGAATGATTACATTGTCACCAGCAATGCAAGGTGTAGTTATGAACGTATATGTTCCAAATCAAACCTTGAATCCAGCAAAGATTTCAGAGCAACAGCTACTTGGTTTAGCTGGAACAAAAATATCAAGCATTACAAGAGGAGGCCAAGATTGCTCAGATACTACCAAAAGATCCTGATGCCAACCTTGACAACTTCCAGCTATTCAAGATCAGACCAGTGGCCAAAACAAGAGTAACCCATTATGTCACATCAGCAACATGGATGAAATGCCCATGATTTTCAATATGCTCAGCAACCAAACTGCATTAAGGTTCAAATACCGTTCTAGTGAAAATCATAAGACGAGAAGAAAGGTTCACAGTAGTAACTGCCTGCATGTCCCCAACAAAAATAAATTAAAGCCTATAGTATTTTTTATAGTTAAAGCAATGCCATAAATAAAGTTCCCTGTAATTATCTTTGTGCATGAGTATGACAACAGTTGGGCAGATGAGATGGGGTGAAGCTGTGAATTGCTAATGTATGGAAAAGATATTCCATAGCCCAATCAAAGTATACAGTCTATTAGTGTCAAACTTTTTCAGATCTGTCATAACTAACGAGATCGAGCAGTGTTTGTGAAGAAACAACACTCAAATTGCAGTTTACCATATTTCCTTAAATATTTTCTTGATGTAAATAACTACTACTTTCTTATTTATCTGAAAAATAAAAGGATCTCTTATAAATGAACTCAACTGTCATTCATTCACAGAAAGTCTTTGCAACAAAATTTTTCAGAGCAACAATCCACAATTTTCAATGAAATATGATCCTAATTAAGATCAACCCTTGTTCATAAGCCAAATTAAGTATATTGCAAAACTCTGCTTATTAACCTGTTAATTGCCTATTTTTGCTTAACTTGTCTCATTAAAACTGTTATTTTAGTTCACATAAGGTAATATTCAATAGCTAGATATTGAAGTTCATCACTGCACCATGAGTTTCATCAATCGCATGGAACTGCTTGTTGGAATGTTTTGAAGAAATAGCTCCTTGAAGATAGAAAACATTACATGATAAGTAGCTTGTATCACTAAGACATGCCTGTTGGTGCCTGCCTTCCAAGAGTCTTTTGATCAACATCTTTCCATAGTTAAGATCAGAAACGCACTGGACATTCAGTTAGACTTGAACTCACATTCTGCCACTTGACGGTCTAACAGCGTGGAAGTACAGCAAATGTCTGTGTCACTAATTCACCTTGAAATAGTGAAGTTAATGCAGCACCTGCAAATGCCTTTTCAATGAAACACATTCAATTTTGCCCTATCACCTTTTATTCCTGGAATATCATTTCTAGACAAATTCATGGAAATTGTCGATTAATATCCAGATAATTAAGATTCTTAAACAACAACAGGTTTAATTGTACATGGTTGGATAACAAAATACACCATTAATGAAGAGTTACTTTTAAGTTAAAATACATATTACTTTGGTTATAATTTTTGTATTACATTGGAGAACAACTGTTAGAAGCCCTCTATCACACAGTAATAGATTACCTCACTTAAAACACTGAGTCAAGAATTTTGCAGCATGAATGAATTACTTTGGCTGATTTTGGATTCCTGCAACTATCAAACCCTTTTTTTGAGTTCCTGAAATAATTATACAACTTAACATTAATAAGCTATGACCAATTATGCAGGCATGAACAATATGTCATCGACAATATTAAAAGCGAAACACCGTGGAGGGCCAAAAGAACTGCGGATAATGTAAATCAGGAACTAAAACAGAAGTTGCTGGAAAAGCTCAGCAGGTCTGGCAGCATCTGTGAAGAAAAAAAATCAGAGTTAACGTTTCGGGTCCAGGAAGGGCCCTCAGTCATGTCCGATCCATCTCCTACATTTCTCCCCTCACTTGTTCCCCTCCTTCCAAGAACCTTCTCTTCACTTTCTGCCCAACTAGTCTCTCCATTCAAAGGATCATCCTTCATCATTTCTGTCAACTCCAGCAAGATGCCACCACCAAACACATCTTCACCCCCCTCCACTCTCAGCATCCCATGGGGACCGGTCCCTCCGTTACATCCTGGTACACTCTTGTATCACCCCTAATACTCCCCCTTGGCACTGTCTCATGCAATTACAGAAGGTTTAATGCTTGCACATTTACCTTCTCTCTCTTCACTGTCTAAGGTCCCAAATACACCTTACAGGTGAAGCAGTGTTTTACTTATACCTCGTTCAATCTAGTCTATTCTGTACAACCCCCTCATGATTTTGAATATCTTCATTCATCAAATATCATCTTAATTGTCTCTTCTCATATAGAAACAGACACAGCTTCTTGAATTTCTCCACATACTTGAAGTTCCTCAAACCTGACAACATTCCTGTGAATCTTTCCTGCACCCTCTCTAGTGCTTTTACATCCCTCCCGACATTTGGTTCCCCAACTTGAGCACAATGCTCCACCTGAGGCCAAACCAGAGTTTCCCACAGGTTTATCAGAACTTCAGAAAGAGAAACAAATGCTGGGAATTCATAGCCAATCAGACAGTATCTGTGGAGAGAACAGAATTAATATTTCAAGTTATATCCTTTCATCAGAATGAGCTGTAATCTGAAAAGTTAACTCTGTTTCCCATCACAGATGCTATCTAATCTGGTGTGCATTTCTGGCATGTTCTGTTATTTCCAACATCCACTGTATTTTGCTTTTTCATCTTAAATTCCTTCCATTCGTAGTTGATGACCCTGTTTATAAAGCCTAGAACTTTTGTTAATCACTTTTTCAACCTGCCCTCCTACTTTCAATGATGTGTACATAAATACCTTCAAATTCCCTTTGCTCTTGAATACCATTTCAAATACCACCGTAAGTTTCCCTCAGTGTCCTTGGCTGCATCTCATCTGGTCCTGGTGACTTATCAAGATTAAGCACAGTCAACCTCTCTGGTAACATGTATTGCCATATTCTGCCAGAGGCCCCGTCATCCACCAATGGGAGAGATCTGGAAATCGGACAGAGAAAAGCCACATATCCCAGCAGCAAGTATTGGGAAAATTGCATGCTTCTCTAAAACATCTGTCCATTTGTTTTAATAGGTGAAGACCTATGTAGGTCAGCACCAGATCCACAGAGTGTGCTAACTGTAAGACATTTTCCTGCATAAAGGCAGTTTTGTAATACAGTATACAGCTAGCTGTAATGGGAATCTGTGACAGAACAAAGGTTTGCATTTATACAGAAAGAAATTTACTTATAAACTTGATTTATTTTATATTGTCCTAATTGATCTTACCTGAGCTCAAAAGTTTGCGGGTTCGTAAGAAGCTAATTGTCAGCCGCATGATAGATGCTTTGTCCAGGTGGGTACTGACACTATGTGGTAGTGGCAGCTGGTGAGCAAGCTCATAAAACACCTCTGTTTCTTTGCTCCTTCTGCATCTTGCTGCATCCCTCGATTTTTCCTTCCTTCTCTCTGAGTTGCTTCTGAAAGCAAACATTGCAAATTTAATCCAGCGCTCTTAAACAAGAACTTCCACACAACATTGTAAAAGCATGAGTCAGGCATATTTGGTGACAAGGAGAGTAGCTCCTGTCAGCTTATTCTGAAATCCAGAAAGAAACACACATGCAGATATCTTCAGGCCATCCAGTCTTTGCCTGCCAATATGCCCCAGCTACCTCTCCTAGAACATTAGGCAATTCCTCAATTGATACTGTCAGAGGATGAGATTGGCATTATGGTCACACCCTCCTCCACCACACTCTGCCCTCCCTCTCACCCGCTAGCTCACATTATATATTAGTTAAAACTCCCCCTACATGATTTGGTATAATTTTTACCTGATAGCCTCGTAACTTGAATGAAAAATTATAAATGGGTAAAGCTGGTCTGCCTCAGTAATTAAAGTATAACATATTTGTGACAGTTTATGTTTGCTAAATCAATAAAAGTTGTGCAACTGTCTATACGCACAAAGGAAATCTTCACTCAGTATGCCTTTCTGGATTTGTATTAATAATGAATTCTATTTCTCTAATTACATCTTGTGTTATGAATATCAAAGACATTGGGTTGGATACTACACTCCTGATCTGACAGGTTTGAAGGTAGTGGGCTCATTAAATCCCACTGCCTACATGCCTGGCCCTACTCTGCAACGATACCTGATGGCACTGACTGTCATGCCCACCAGTGGTCAACTTAGGCTCCAGGTGGGCAAAGAACACCCAACCATAAACTTCATCCTGCCACCAGCAGAACTTAACCGATGACAGGAGAAGCCCATGCGAAGTGGCTTTCCTCTAGGGGCCTCTCCATGGACTGGTAGAGAACTGCAGGCAGAGGGACTCTTCCTTGCCAGGAACCCTGGGCCCACAAGATGGCCTCCTGCAAGCTTCTCAAAACCTAGCTTCCCAGCTCCTCTTCTGGGGCATTGTAGGAATGGCATCCAGCCAGATCACCAGTCACTGATCGAGCAGGACCCTCCGTTTTTTGAAGAGGGATTTTGTGATCCAGAAAGGTAGCATTGTTGCCTCCAGCCTATTGACAATCAATAAACCTTTACATGGCTGCAGGATAGATGGTGTTCCTTCAGTGGGGTCTCCCTCCCAGTATTTTAACCTGGATAGAGAATAATTCAGGCCAGTTGGCGAGTAGGTGAGATCAACTCAAGTGGCAAAGTAGTATGCATCAAAAAAGGAGAGTTATTGCTAGATGTTGGAACGCATTTACCGTTTTACTTAGCTTCATGCACTCGAAAGAGTCAGATGTTGAACAACACATCTCTCTCGTGGTATCAATAATATGTTTTTAACCCCACCCTCAGAAATATGTCTCCTATCACATGTGACTGAATGCAAGTATTTTCCATGTCTGCCATTCTTACATCTTTCTTAACAAATCTGATAATTATTAATATAATTACTGCTGGATTATGGAAAATTTTATTTGTTACCTCCCCGCCTATTGGGAGATTAAGATGAAATATCACATGTAAAATTCCCAGAATGGTTGCATTTAAACCCAGGTCAAAGAACTAAAAGTGACAGTGCCATAACTCTACTAATGTTAAATCTTTAACATTAAATCAAAGTAATTGTATGTGCCAATTATGTTGTGATGCAATTATTGAAGAAATTTACTGAATCAGCAAATTCTATTTTAGCTCAGTTTCTCATAGTTCTAAACATATGGCCCAAATCTTCCTGTCTCTGGATAGTCAGAAACCAGATATACAACCGAGGTATGTGTTGGAATCCTGTGGAAGTCCTGATGCACTGACCTATATGTGAATTGCCTAGAAAGATTCAACTTCCAGTATTAATTTACCTCTTCCATGCGACATCCATGAATGTCTCCAGCTCTGAGTTGGAGACGGAGACCCTGGACGTTTGCAATGTCCTTACCTGAGTAGTTACCCAGGAAACATCAGACAGAATGACCCAGATCTTCTGATCAGTTCTCCCCACCAACCCCACTGTTTCCAACAGGGACCAGACAACAAAACTATCCTATTACCTACTAATGATGGTTGCTATCCTTGGGAGATCTGGACCCATTTCCCAGAGCTTATCCCTTTAATTAAAAGGATTGATGATTCATGAAGGAAGATTTCAATGAAGTGCATCACATATCAATCTCATATTGATGATAATCTGCAATCACAATACTTTTTTTGCTCTTAACAACGGTTCCTCATCTGGCCCGTGAACACTTGCTGAAAGCCCAGAACTGGAAAGTCTTCCCTGGTAAGTACAAACCTTCACCTAAGTAGTTATATTCTTTCAACTGTAAAAGTAGCCTCACAAAGGATGCCACAGTTGACTAATTTTGTTGCATTATTACAAGAATGCTGAAGGAAATTGAGGTAATACCAGCATATCAGATGTTAAATTATAGAAGTTAGCTAACGTAATGAACCAAGTAAACATAATTCTTAGTTAATTAGTAGGAAGAGGATTAGCATTGTTGCCTGGAGTTATTAACTCAATAGAAAGGTTCTTTTTTTCTCTGAGGTACAATTTTTTTGGATAATTAATTCCATTAGAGTTTATTTAATAGATAACCGTGCAAAGAGAGAAAGCTACTTCTTAAACCCCTTCTATCATCAACATGATGGGTATAATCTTTCAGTGATTATCTCACTAAGAGATTTAATATCCTTTGGTGAGCAACTTGGTCACATCCCCAATACTCAGAACACCACTTGCTGTCAATTTGCAACGAGCTCATTTCTGTTTATTTCTGTTCATCAAAACCAGCTAACAACAAAACAATTTGAATAAGTTAAAAGATATAACCAAGCTTAATTGGTCAGACGTCAGTATTCAAGGCTACAGCTCAGTGCTACTTACTTACCTTATGAAACATTGCACTGCATGAACAGAAATCATAAATATCATTTATAATGGAATCACTGAAACCAACAAAATCCAAATAGTACTGCATATAGAAACATACAGCTTGTATTTGATGAATGTGCAAAATATTCAAGGTGAAATTTATATGATGCAATAGGTTGATATTCTGCCACTTCTTTTGCAATAATGCTTTAACAAAAAAAGAATTTTCTTCAGATCTGCTTAGCTCCTGTTTGATAGGATTACAGAGAGCAAGGACCAGAACGTTGTGTGACTGAGAATCCAAAGTGGCGTCCATTGAGAATCTTTGCAGAAGCTGTTTTCATTGGACAAAAACAAAGAACTGCGGATGTTGGAAATCAGAAACAAAAACAAAAATTACTGTGAAAACCTAGCAGGTCTGGCAACATGTATGGAGGGAAAAGACAGTTAACATTTTGGGTCCAGTGACCCTTCTTCAGAACTGACTGTAGCTGGGGAAATGTTGGTATAATGTGTTGAAGACGGGGACAGGGCAGGAGGTGCAGGGGAGGGGGGAAGGAATAAACGATAAATGGAGATGCAACCCAGAGAGACAGAGAGAGACAGAGAGAGAACAGCTTTTGGGTAGACAAAGGGATGGATAACAGTGAGCCAGAGTTAAAGTAAACCTGCTGCTGGGGACCATTAATAGGTGAAAATGGGTTGTCAGTGGTGAAAGCAGCTCACGTGGTTACAAGACCTGGTGTGTGGACATGAGCAAAGGACATGCAAAGGAGGTGCTCAAGCCCTAGAATTATCGGACTAGATATTGAGATTTGAAGGCGACAGGGTCCCTAAACATCTCATTTTCTGCTTTGTCTGCCCTACTTCTGTTCTCTGTCTCTGGGCTCCATCTCCACCTCCACCTATTGTTTACTCTTTCCCCTCCCTGCCCCATCTTCAGCATATATACCATATTTTCCTAGCTGTGTTCAGTTCTTATGAAAGGCCATTGAGCTCAAAATGTGACTCTACTTTCTCTCCACAGATGCTGCCAGACCTGCTGAATTTCTAGTGATTTCTGTTTCTGTTTTCATTTAATCTATACTCTGTGAACTGCCTGTCATTTCACATTTCCAGGTAGAAATTAAAGGGAAGCTGCTTTAAGTCCCATTTAAAGTACAAAAGAAAGATTAAATGTTCATGTTTTTAAAACAGAAGTTAATTTTTGAGAATATTTGGAATGTGAATTAATGTTTTCCAAGTGTTCAAATAACTATGCTAGTATTTTTCCTAACTTTTTCAGATTAGAGAAATTATTGTATACTGCAGAACCAGCAGGTGGAGTTTGGTTGATCCATGAAGGCTTATTACCTGGTTGTGTTGCTGGGAGGCCCAGTTGATGTTGAGACTGGGACATCATTAAAATGATAGGAGTTGGTATCCCAGGAGAGGATTCCAGCAAAAAATACAGTGAAGTGAGATGTTGGCAATAAATCAACTGCCCTGATTTTACTTCTGCTATCTCCCGGTTGCTATTGGCAGAAAGAAACTTTCCATGCATCATAGAATCATTATTAAAAAGATCAGGGAAACATTATGTAGGGAAATTCTTTCCAAGGGCTCTACAGAGCTGGGAGATCATTAAAGACCTGAACTTGAAAACTCTATCCAATTCTCCTGCCACCTCAGGATATGTTATACCAATACCAGTGGATTCAGACACAGCTGTAAATGCAGATGGAAAGCTGACTTACACAGAGTTTGGATTTGAAAAGCTAGCCAGTTGTTTGCCATTCATTAAAGCACACATGCCACAATAGGGCTGTTACAGTCCAAAATAGGCAACATCAAATGCTCATTTAACTTTTTTGGTTCTGCAGCAATCCAGTCTAGCAGATGCATTATTTGAACTAATAGACCACAGGTGGATGACACAATTGGATGACAGTGTTTAACATAGCCAGCTATTTTTTATTCTATCTACTGATTCATAACAAGACTTTCCAAATGTAACTGCAAAGTTACATTTCACCAAGGATGGTGGCAATCAATTGGACACTTAAGGACCAATGATGGACAGACCTTTCAGTGCCTCCCCTGCCATGGTTAAAATTAGAGGAAGGCAGGTTGTTGCCAAGAACAGTGCCCATGACATTGTA